ACATGGAGAGAAACTAAAAATAAAATTTAAGTTCTAATATCTAGGAAGTAGTTTAAGTGTAAATACTAGAAGCATTTTTACATAGGTTCTCAGCATTATCTCTAAAATACTCTTATGACAATTATAATATCTGTTCTGTAGCTTTTATGGACAATGGCCCTGTCCAGTGAATTCTAGCATAATATGAACTTTAAGTAAATATAAGAGAATGTTTGAGAACTATTCATATTTTATCTATGATGTCAAATAACATATTACACGTGTTACTAACATTTTACAACTTTATGATTACACAAGAAAAATGATATTTTGGTAACTTTGTAAATTTGTTAATATCCTTTCTTGGATCATGAAAAATAAAAGAAATTGCTACTTGAGGTACCAGCAGGTGACATGGTGGTTAAGGCACTGGACACTCCCATGTGGCCAACCATGGTTTGAATCCTGGACAGGTAGGTGGCTTGATTTCTCACTTCCTCTCTCTTTCTCTCTCTCTGTCTCTCTCTGTTCAAATTAAAATAAATGAATGAATAAATCAAATGAAATTATTCTTTTTACAAAAAGAAAAATGTTACTTGGGAAAAAAATCAAAGTCCACATCACTTTTCCTCAGTGTTTATTTGTTCATTTGTTTTGAACAGGGTCTCTCTGTCACAGTCCTCCTTAGCCTCTCAGCTGGGATTGCAGGTATGTGCCATCATTCGAGATCTTTTGTTTTAGACAGAGTCTGGCTGTGTTGTCCACGCCAGCTTCCAACTAGCAAGCCTCCTGCCTTGGTCGCCCCTGGTGGCTGGGACAACAGACTCAAGCTTCTACACCTGGCAATTTGATTGGACCAGGATTCAAAACTGAGCCGCACATGTAGTTCAAGTCTGCAGAGCACAGCATCTCAGTAGCTGGTGTGACTGGAAATTTAAGAAGTTCTGTGTTTGTTGTTGTTGTTTTGTTTTCCTTTTTTATCATTACATATATATGTAAAAAAATTTCCAACAGTGCATTATTAGAATGTAAAAGATCTCCTACACATTTATTGCAGAACTAGAAGGCACTAGTATACCATATTATAAGCTCAGGGTATCAATTACAGAATGTTTTTGTTGATAAAAATAATCATTAAATAAATAAGAACCTGCGGATAGCCAAATATCTACTAATAAAACAAACAACAAAGTCATTGATCTATATGCCACAGTTGTATACTGATATTAAAAATAATGATAATGTTGACTGACCAAGAAAAATGCGGCTGCTGAATTTTCGAGTAAGAAATAATAGTTATGGGGAACACAGTATATTATGACTTTTCATGAAGTTCTTTTATAGAGAGAATGCTGTCACTATTATGTAACTTTCTTTGTAGATGGTAAAAGGTGATAGAAATGATCGTATTTGGGGAAAAATATGTGAGGCCAAGAACTAAAGTGTGTGCAACAATATAAAATGTCATTCTAGAAATCGAATTTCTTCATAAAAGTAAATATGTTTTTGAATGAGATCTGACAGTAACGTGGTAAACAAATTCAATATGATTGGATATTGTAATTTTCTTATTACTGTTATCATGTTCAATTTATCTTTTTTTTTAAATTTAGCATACTTAGTCACCAGCAGATTGTTTAATGGTTACATCACTGGACTCCCACATTGTTGACCACATTTCGAGTTCCAGATCCGGTGTCTTAAAAGTCACATCAGGTGGGAGGGAAGCTATGCTCTAGACTTCATCTTCCAGACTCTCAAAATATTTAGAAAAGAAGCCATTTTAAAGCTGAGGTGTGTCCTGGCCTGTTCAGGGAAGCTATGCTCTAAACTTCATCTTCTTGACTCTGGAAATATTCAGACAAGGGGAGGAGAGATTTTTGTCACAGAATGACAAGAAACCACCGCAGAGGCACAAGAAACATGAGAAACCAAGAGAATATCTCTCTCCTAAGGGAAAAGAACAATCCCTCATCATCCACAGACAGTACAATAGAACTCGTGGAAATGTCTGATAGAGAATTCAGAATATTCATAATGACAAAATTAAATGAGATGCAAGAGCTGAGAGAGAATGAACTCCAGAAGATGCAGGAGAAAAGAGACAACAAGTTCAAGGAGGTGTTGAAGTTCTTCCATGATGTGAAAGAGGAAATACGCACCATAAAAAAGAATCAAATGAAGCTATTAGAGATGAAGACTGCTGTCCAGGAAATCAAAACCTCCCTTGAAAGTATTAAAAGCAGATTAGTCCATGCAGAATATCAAATCTCAGATGTAGAAGGCAAAACTTCTGATTAAAAAAAAAAAAAAACAGAGAAAATAACCCCCCCAAAATGAGAATACTATATGAGAAATACTAGACAGCATTAAGCACCCAAACATCTGGATAATTGGTATCCCAGAAGGTGAGGAGACTAATAAGGACATTGATAATCTATTCTATGAAGTCTTGGAAGAAAGCTTTCCAAATCTAGAGAGGCATTCAAATATCCAGACCCAAGGAATACAAAGGACCTGAAATAGAATGAACCCAACCTTCTCTAAGGCACATCATAGTAAGACTGGCCAAATTTACAGACAAAGACGAGATACTAAAATTGACAATAGAGAAATGTCAGTTTACTTATAAAAGTTATCCTAGCAGGCTAACTCAGACCTCTCATCAGAAACAATGCAAGCAAGGAAAGAATGGGAAAATATATTCAAAGTGTTAAATGAAAAACAGTTTCAACCAAGAATACTATACATGGCAAGATTATCTTTAATATGGAAAGAAAGGATAAAAACATTCTCAGATAAACAAGACCTAGAAGAATTTGCCAATAGCAGACCCACTCTTCAAGAAGTTCTGAAAGGAGCGCTCTATCAGGAAAACTAAAAACACATAAATAAATAAGAGAATAAAAGGCAACCAAGAAAACAACCAATTTAATGCTAGGGGTAAGAAATATTAATAATAACATTGAATGTTACTTTCCAGGATTTAACCGGAAAGATTGAACCACAGTAGCACTGCATATTCAACAGAAGCGAGTTTGAACATAAGACCAAACTGGCAAAATAGAATTTTATAACGTTTGAGTAAAACATTACTGATTTTTTTTTTTACTATGCTTTGTTTTCCCAATTTAAGCATTTCACTTTCTTCTGAGTTGTTGATAGGTTCAGCAATTTGTTAAAATATTTTTCTTGTTTGTTTCTTTAAATGGAAACATAAACTTTTCTTCCTTCTAGATCCTCTGGAATGGGAAAATAACTGGGAGTATTCTTATTTTGTGGCAGAAGGGTTATTTGTATAAATTCAATAATGCTTGTTGCATTGAATCAGAAATTGGAAATTGTCATTATTGGACAGGGCTTTGACTGGAAAGTCACATCTGAAGACTAATCAGGAAATTATAGAAGTAAGGTGGATCTTAAATAAGCCAACAGAAGCTCTTAGAAAGATGGCCTGGCACCATTAATAGTTTTGCCTGGCAGAAAGGATTAGTGATGATATATGAAAGAATTTATCACATAAAATAACCTGGACTTTTCCAGCCCAGCATTATAATCAGTAGAGATTGCAAAAGAGCAACCACAGACCATTATCTTGAGAAAGATGTTGAAGGAAGGAAAAGAAACTGATCTATGCTAGCAGATGGTAAATCACAGAATACTTGGTAGGCAGAGCTGAATTGAAAAGTTGTATGTGTGACTAGTGTGCTGGGCATTTGCTTTTCAACAATTTGATTAGCTGACATGTAAATATTTCCTCAAAAATATTTAGAACCATGCTGTCTCTGTTGTTACAGAGACACACACACAATTGTAAGAAATATTTTGATCATTATCTTTAAAATTCAGTATTATGAAATTTTAAAAGTTGTTTATTAACTGTCAAGAATCATGGAGTATGAGCAAAAATTTTTTGATATGTAAAGTAAGTGTTTGTGGAAAAGTGTAAAAATCAATCAAAGAAATAAAAGGAAATAAAGAAAAAAATAATAAACAAAAAACAAGAGGAAGATCACACCAAGCGGGTGTACATGCATGTCCGAGATCCAGAGAGGACACTGGAGAAGGGATTGCAACATGGCTATCCTGCCCAAAGGATGATTTCTTGCTTTCTGACTCTTGTCTCTCTAGTGAACAGATATGCCCTCTAGCAAAACTCTCTCTCTAAAAAAAAAAAAAAAATTAACAAACTTACTTTTTCATGAGCAAGAGAGAAGGAAACAGACAGAACCGATCATTTTGACTATCTCAACAGGGTCTTGGCTTCGCAGTCTACTCTCAACTTCAGCCAGCTCAGATCATCAGCATGCACATGACTGGCATAATCATGGGGGTTTTTCAGATGCAAACCCAGAACGTTCCCTTGTTGTCCACCCCCTAGTTTGCTGTTTTACCTCTTTGCCACCATACAGTCCTTGAACTATTCAATGTTTTTCTCACGGCTATTAATAAAAAATCTCCCCAAATACCCAATCCATGTATAATATATAAAATATTAACTTAATCTCCTTGAAAACCTCATTATGAAGTATCATGCACTATATTTTATGTAGCCTAGATTCTTGAAGCAGACTGTTTATATTGTATTAGAATCACATATTCAATTACTTTATCTCCTACCTTGCTCACACATTCTTCAAGTTTCACTCTTACTTTTCTTTAATACCAAATGACTACTACACAATATTATTACTAACTAACCTTTTGTAATTTTTTATCAATTTTAACTATTAAAGAGTTTTTAAAAAAATTCTTAAAATCCAAATTCCACCAAAAATTGCCATGATTATCTGTGCTAACAAAGAGTATTGGCTCCAATATGACCTTGAAAATTACTTGGTGCTTACATAATCTGACTGTAATATGTACTTATTTTATTAAGTTGAAGATTACAGGTTGATATAAGAGGAAACTAAAACTGAGAAAGTAGTTCTACTTTTTGATGCTGTAATTGGTCTGTTAGAGTTCTGAACAGAGATTGGTGGACCCAACCATGAAACTTGAAACTGAATATTAATATATTAAGTCAGAATTTTCAATTGATTAGTTAAAGCTCTTTTTAGAGAATCTTTTACTTCTTTGTTCCTTAAGCTGTAAATCAATGGATTCAGCATGGGGATTACCAGAGTATAAAAGACAGAGGCCATTTTATCGATAGAAAAAGTATGACTGGATTTGGGTTGCAGGTAAATAAACAGTAATGTCCCATAAAACACAACTACCACTGTCAGATGAGAACTACATGTGGAGAAGGCTTTATACCTGCCTTCAGTTGAGTTCATTCTGAGAATGGCCACAAGAATAAACATATAGGATACAAGAACAATTGAGAGGGAAGAGAGCAAATTACAGCCTGAAAAGATTAAAATGATTAACTCTAATTCGTGTGTGTCAGAACAGAGCATGGAAATCAGAGGGAGACAGTCACAGTAGAAATAACTGATGATGTTAGAGCCACAGAAAGACAATGTGAATAACTTAATTGTCAGAAGTAGTGACACGAACGTACTGTAGAGATAGGGTGTAATCACCAGCACCCAGCGTACTTTCTCCCCCATGATAACCACATAGAGAAGGGGTTTGCAGATGGCTACGTAACGATCATAGGCCATTGCTGATAGGATAAATAGTTCAGTGATGATGAAAATCTCAAAGAATGCAAGCTGGGTGGCACACCAGTTGTAGGAAATTGTATTTTTGTGCACTACAAAGTTCACCATCATTTTTGGACCAATAACAGTGGAGTATCCAAGATCAGTAATTGATAAATGTCTAAGGAAAAAGTACATTGGGGTATTTAACTTGGCATCCAAATGGGTCAAGATGACTATGCCAAGATTGCCCACTACTGTGATCAAATATATGATGAGGAAGATCCCAAAGAGTGGTGCTTGAAGTGCAGGCTGGTCTGTGATCCCGAGGAGAATAAATTCAGTAACTTGGGTCACGGTTGTATGATTGCGTTCCTCCATGATTTATCTAGGTAACCTGTGCAAGGTACAAAACTGATATTTATTATGCATACCTTCTAGGAGAATTTACAGCATGAGTATGAGATACAGTAGCATTTTCTTTGTCTCAATTCTAAACAGAGAGTCCTCCAACCAGATCAAAAACACACAGCACTGCACTCATTCATTAACGCATTGGTAAAGTATGTTTTAAAAGAGGCAAATCTTTGTTTTGATGAAGCTACTAAGATCTACTTCTTTTCACTAGAAGTAATTTTAAGTATGTCAATAGAATTATTCCAGCTTTTAAAAATTTTAATTAATTTGTTTAAAAAAAATAAAACTGGGGACAATAGGTGACATGGTGGTTAAGGGGCTGGACACCCACATGAACAGTCATGGTTTGAGTCTTGACCTGGTGGCTTGAAAAGCTCACTGGGCATGTGTGGGGCTTGAAAAACTTGCTGAGCACATGTGGTTGCATGCTCAAAATCCCAAAAGGAGGGAGAAATGGATTAGAAAGGATTATGTTGTGGCCATTCCTTATGGAGTGCTACTTTCTCCTCACCCACTTCGGCTCACTCTGGCAAGTGTACACACTCTAAAGCAAATTAAAAGGAATAATTAAAAATTCAGTATACATTTTCACATAAAAACTCGGTAGAACTATTACCAAATATGAACAATGTCACAATGTTCAGTGTTGAAGATGAATATGTCTATATTCTTTATTTGATTATAATAGCATAGGCACACTTTGAAAAACCATACTATATCCCACAAAGATGTTTAAAGATTGTATGTAATCAGAAATTACAATAAAAAAATAGAAACAACAAAAGAACAAAACTTCTCAAACTCTTGGCAGGCTAATGAAACAGACAGTAATTACGAAAACTCTGAGTACTAAATATATGTCTCAATACTTCTCATTATAAATTCAGCCTGTTTGCCAAATAAAAAGATTAATGTCATAATCTGTTAATTTTAAAATTTTTATAATAAACTTCTTAGTCTAAATTAGTTACATGTGTACTTTGTAAAAATATTTTATTAATTTATTTTATTTATTATTGTATTTTATTAGTAAAATGATTATATTATTAAACTATAATAATAAATAGAAAAAGAAAGAAAAAGTGAGAAAGTAAGTTGACAGGTCCGCAACTCAGATTGTGGTTGGCCAAGAGAGAGTCTAGCGCTTTACCCACCATCCTTCCTGTTGACCCCCAACCACAAGTATAATTTTGCCCTTTGATTCACTGTTCCAAATAATCTCCCAATCATACATCTCTCCTCTGAACAGAGAGGAGCTTTGTTAATTATTTTTGAATACTCAGAAAAAGATTATGAAAAGAAGCCCAACAAAAAGAGAAAAGCAAGTGTCTGTAAAGATCTGTTAATAGATAGAGCTCTTTGCATATTAGCAAATTTTCTAAGTAATTTACATATATTAACTCGATGATCTACACAGTAACTTAAAAAAATAGGCAACAATACCATTCATATTTAGGAGTTAAAGAAATGGAGCCACGGAGAATTGGATACCTTAGAAATGGTCACAGATCATCAGCGGTGAAATGTGGTCTCAAATAAAGGCATTTATTACTTAGACACATTCTCACAAGTACCATAACAGGTAGCCTCTACATTAAGGGCACCCTGAGGAGATGGGAAATTTAAAAATGGGGCAGAAGTGACACCTGATAAATAATAAACAAATATCCTTGTTAATTAAAGGCCACATGGTGGTACAGTGGTACAGCATGATACTGGCCCACATGGGAAGTTCCTGGTTGGTGTCTAGTGTCCTCCCTGAATTCATCAACATGTACATGACCATGATCTTAGGAAGGCTAGACTGGGAGTGCATCACAGTGTCGAGACACTGTTAAAGAGGCTGTCTCTCTCTCTCTCTCTCTTTCTTTTGCTTTTTCCTGTCTCTCTCACTCATAAAAGAAAAAAATAAACAAGCTTTAAAAATGGGATATATATAGAGATCCTTATTAAAAGAGGTAACTGAAGCACTAAATTAATTTGAGAACAAATATCCTGCACTTTAATCTTGCTGATGACTGGAAAGTATATTGCAAAGTGGGAACAGACTTGCAGAGTAAAAAGCCCTTCCAGATCTTTAAGCTCTATGCCCTTTGAAATGTTCAAAGGTCAATGTTTCTACTTACCTTAACTGAGAATCAGCCTCGGCTTTCTGTTGTTTAAATTCTCACAGGTAGTTCTAGAATAAATTTAAAAAAATGTTTCTATTCTCATGTGACTCATGGTGACTCAGAGATAAGCTAATTGCTCATAATTAACTGAAGGAGGGTGCTTATCCTCTCTATGGATATCTGTTAATTATTCTATAAATATTCCATTAGAAAAATACTGTGTACCTTAGTCTAATAAATTAATTATATCATTAAACATTAGAAATCATAAACAAACCTTTTTCAACATGTCATTAACACAACATTGTGCACATAAGAGTTACTACACTAAAATACACACAAAATGTGAATAAGTGAAAGTGTGTTTTTTTATAAAAAGATTATGTAATATTTGATATCATAACCCCCATTGAACAAGGGTTCTTTAGCTGGATATATACTTATCCTGGATGAAGACTAGAGGTTAATATAGGTCAATGTCTTACAACTTGTTTCTGTTAACGGTATCCCTGGTGAATAATTCCTTCTTTCCTTTACAACATATCACTTATCTCCAATTGTGTTTAAAAATTCTCTTTATCTTTGGTTTTTAAAATATTGATTGTGAAGTACTTTGGAGCAATTACTTTCTCTTTGACCTGTTTCAGTTTCCTTTAGTCTATTTTATCTCTGTCTTTATTTTAAAAAGAAATTTGGAAAGAAATTCTAACCAATATTATTTTCCCTTGTTTTTCTTGCCATGTAGAGAATCTTTTTTTTTTTTTTTTTTGAGAGGTTTTTTTCACTATAGGGCACGTGCGCTCACCAGAAAGACAGAGAGAGACAGAGAGACAGAAAGTAAGAAATCACCCCCCGGGGGGATGGCCATGCCGCAACCCCTTCTCCTCCATTTTCCTCTTGGGATCTTGGGCATGCACGCACATGCGCCCGGCGTAAGTTTAAGCCACCGGGTCCGGGACTGGAACCGTGGTTGACTACATGGGAGTCCAATGACATAGCCATTACGCTAACTGCTGGTTCCTAGAGAATCTTCTTTCCATCTGAACCTACAAGTAAATATATGTAAGGTAGCTTGTTACTCTTCTACACATCAGCGAGACTATTGTGTTTTTTTTTGTTAAGCTTTGTGTTGTTTTCTACTTTGTGTTTGCCTAAATATCATGTTGGGTAGTCTCCACTGAGCCATGAGTTCAGTCATTTGTTTTGTTTAGTTTCAGTGTTTAAACTGTTGTTCTTCTCTTTTACTACTTTTCATATCTAAATTTACATTTTTAACTCTAGAAGTTCCCTTTTGTTTAAATCTTTATGTTGCCTCTTATAATGTTGTTTTAGTTGTCATTCATAATATAGAACATATTTCCTTTTTTTAAGAGAGATTTTTGTAATAGGGTGCATGCACTTTCCAGAGATACAAAGAGAGACAGAAAGAGAGAAAAGGAGAACTCACCCCCAGGGGTGACGGCCATGCTGCAATCCCTTCTCTTTCATTCTCCTCTCAGGATTTTCATTCTCCTCTCAGGATTTTGGGCACAAATGCACACGTGCTTAGCATGAGTTTAAGCTGCTGGGTCCAGGACTCAAACTGCAGTCGATTGCATGGGAGTCCAGCGACATAGCCATTATGCCATTGCTAGTCCCTAGAATATATTTTCAATAGTCCGTGCCTATCCACTCTAGGATTACTATCATTTCAGGATTACTTTAATTATTTCTGAGATGTGGTCACACATTTCTGCTTTCTCATATGTCTCATACATTTCCATGGGATGCTGAATTATTTGAAATGTTTGTATGTTAATGAATGTTGTGTTTTATTTTGATTTATTTTTTTAAAGAATGTTAAGTCTTTGCAAAGTCAGTATGTTTACTCCATTCAAGAATGGCTTTCAGCCTGTTAAAGGGGTCTAAAGAAGTTTCTATCTATAAGGTTGCTATTGGAGCCTTAGGTCTTGAATAAAGACCCCACAATCTGACTTTTTTTTTTTTAGAAGGAGATTTTTGCTATAAGATACATATGGTCACCAGAGAGACAGGGAGAAACAGAGATACAGGAAGTGAAAGTAAGAAATCACTCCCCAGAGAGGATAGCCACACCTACCCATTCTCTTCCATTCTCTTCAAATTTGGGGGCACACACACCCACACGCTCGGCGTGAGTTTAAGCCACTAGGTATGGACTTGAACTGTGGTGAGCTACATATGTAGGGAGTCCAGCCATGTAACCATTATGCCTTCTGCTGATCTACTATGATCTGATTTTTAACTGTCTTTCACCTAATGTGATATCTGGGAGATGTTCGACATACAACTCTGAAGTCGTTTTTGTAAAATATGCTTCTAGACATTTAATGTATATATCCACAATTTAGAGTTTAACCACAAACTCAAGGGAGCCTTGCAACAGAAAATAAAAATTAACAGCAATAACAAGAAGATATGACCTTCAAGAAATAAGGAGCAGCCCCCTGGAAGCATGTCCTCGATTATCTGTAATTAGTTTAAATGTAAGTAGATAAAATTCTCTTTTAAGGCCAGCCAAGTGAGAAGGTCCCATTATTTGTGTCCTAGGATTTCCCTGTGCACGCTCGGCACAGGGATGTGGGTCTATGATGCCAACTCGCTGAGGCTAGGCATAGGTAGGATTGCAGTGTAAAGACTGTTGTAAGAACCCACTCCTTTTTTCTCTGTCTTACTCATGGCAGAAATGAACAAATAAACTTTGAAAAAATTATCCGATTAAAAAACAAAATATTATCACAATGGATTAAACAACAAATTTGTAAACAAACAATGAGCCAAATGTATGCTGTATTTAAGAGACTCAATCTGTATTCACTTTTGAAAGTTCAGGAA